ACTTTAACCTTTAGGCTGCTTTGCACACTCCGTTGATTATTCCAATACCGGGCGCTGTGGGAACCCAGAAACTGTCTTTTACCCTACGTAGCCACAGGGTGAGTGAAGAGGTCCTGCTGGGAAGGGAGGGTGAAGTGTTTGCTGGAGACGGAATCCCGTCGGACTGAGCTGGTGGAATGACTCACATTCTCCATGAGGGGGCTGGGGGCAGCGTCTCTGAGGGCCTGGCTTGCCCCCAGAGAGAAGCTGGTCTGGACAGAGGTGAATCAGACGCAGTCTCGCAGGCCCGTGTCTCCTATTACTTGGCTTAAAGCAGACTGAAGGTGGTGACTGCCCATCCACGTGTGTCCCCACCATCAGACTGGGGTTCCACCTCTGCGTCTCCAGCATTGCCCAGCATAGGGCCTAGCTTGCCAGAGGCCTCAGGATGCATGAAACCAGGGCCCCTGCCAGTTTGGGGGGTGGGGTGGGCAGGAGGTCCCGGCAGCTGGGCTTGGCGTGGAAGCTTCAGTGATCATAACTGCCCATGTGTAGTGAGCGATTACTACGATTACTACGGAGGAGCAGGGCTCCAAGTCCTTGGCAGAGATTAACCCATTCAGTGCTTTCAAACCTGGGTGGCGCAGTCGGTTAAGCGTCTGACTTCAGCCAGGTCACGATCTCGCGGTCCGTGAGTTCGAGCCCCGCGTCAGGCACTGGGCTGATGGCTCAGAGCCTGGAGCCTGTTTCCGATTCTGTGTCTCCTTCTCTCTCTGCCCTCTCCCCCATTCATGCTCTGTCTCTCTCTGTCCCAAAAATAAATAAACGTTGAAAAAAAACAATTAAAAAAAAAAAAGCCGCTAGGTATTATCAGTCCCGTTAGACAGGTGAGGAAACTGAGAACCGTGGAGGTTCTGTTACCTGCCAGGTCACCCGCTCCAGGCAGCCAGAGTCAGAATCACAAGTGCAGGCAAGTCCCGCTCTGGTCTCTCCTCCTCCCCTTTTCACTCAGCAGCTGGGAGGCCCGATGACAGCAAATGGCAGGGATGTTGCTCAAGGTTCTGGGACCTGCCCTCCTGGTTTCCTCCGACCTGTAACTGTTCCTTCGGGCTCCGTCGCCCCCTGGGTCTCCTTCTGCCCCAGTCCTGGTCTCCATGGCCTGAGATGCCTAGGTCGTATCTGTCTCCCCGACCCGGCAGGCTCCAGTTTCATGGGCTTTGGGTCGCAGCCGCATCCAGCACGGGGACTGACGTGGGTGTGTGCCGAATGAGAGAACAAAGAGGGGGTGTCAGCTGCTGTCCTGTCCCTCTGGTCCATCCTCTCCCAGCCTCACAGCTCTTCCTGCACCGGGAGCTGCCCCGAGGCTCCCCAGCACCCTCAGGACAAAGTCCCAGCCCCTCAGTGTTTGAGACCCTTCGTGGTCCGGCCTTGGCCGCTGTTCTGCCGTCCACGGTGCCCTGTTCCTCCCTTACCCCTTGTGCTTCCATAGCTCCCACCTAATCTTTCCTGACAGACAGGGCCCCTTCTTGGCTTGGGCCCTTGTCCCCGCTGGGCCTTCTGCTTGGATACCCTTCCCTCTCCAGCCCTACTTGTACCTCCCTTGTCCTGCTTAACGCTGATCTGTCAATCGCATCGGCATTTAGTGATTCGCTGGTATCCCCTGTCCCAACCCTCTCATGCTCCTTGTTGTGTCCTTGGACACTCCTGCAGCCTCTCTGCACTCTGGGCTTGCCTCTCTGCACTCTGCTCCCACACTGGATTGGGATCCTCTGTCCACCCGGATGTCCCCTCCCCCCACTGGTGGCTCCTCAGGGTGCATGCACTTCGGTCCACTCTTGCCTCACTTGTCACCTTCTCTGGGAGGCCTGCCCTGGATCCTGACTTAAAGTTGCAACCCCCATTGTTCCCGTCCCCTCCCTGGCCGTAATTTCACCCATACTCTTGTCTCTTTGTAATCTCCTCTCATTTACTGATTGCTCTCTTTAGTGTCTGTCTCTCCTTCCAGAATTCCAGCTCCAGGGTGGGGAGGAGGGTCTGTCTGATGTAGTTACTGCTGTCTTAGTCATTGGTTCCCTCACAAGAACGGTTCAGAGCCAACTCCAGGCCAGCTGCCTGGGTCAGCTTCCTACTATGTGACCTTGGGGAGCTGCGTAACCACTCTGAGCCTTATTTTCCTCCACCCTACAATGGGGATAACAAGAGTACCTCCTGAATTGGGTGGCGGTGAAGATCGGATAAGCTCTTAGAGTAGTGCCTGGCTATGGGGCGCCAGGGTGGCTCCGTCGGTTGAGCGTCCAACCTCAGCTCAGGTCATAATCTCACGGTTTGTGAGTTCGAGCCCCGCCTTGGGCTCTGTGCCGACAGCTTGGAGCCTGCTTTGGATTCTGTGTCTCCCCATCTCTGCCCCTCTCCCCACTTGCTCTCTCTCTCTC